CGTGGACCAAGTTTTCCCCATAAAGCCATTGGTGACCTCAGATTGAGACTTAGATTTAATTATTTTACTGGTGAAGTTTGCATTGCAAATGTGGGTCAGGTAGCACTGAGCTATGTTGCCTGAGCATAAGCCTCCATGGGAAACTACTGAGCGCAAGTAGGAGCTAAGGAAGCAGTTAAAGGAAGCAAAGTAGAGGAGAGGAGCAAAAGATGGGTGACCGAGTTCAAGCTAAATGTAGGTTCTTGAATAATTCACTTCCCCCTGCTGGAAACAAGGCCTGGTCCTTCAAAAGGCATTTAAACACTTATCATGTTCTGTGTAACTCCTCTTTCATATGACTATTGTATGTCTGCAGCATGTTTGTTTTCTTCTCTCTGCTGTCTTCTTTGTATGTTTACCTTTTCAACATTCAAAAGCTGCTTTCTTTCACTTCAATCTATCGTGTGTGTTCTTTTAAGCATTCAGTTTGAATGTTGCCAAACACGATCAGCTGAGCAGCTTCATAGTTACTGTTTCATCAAGCGTCACGTTCTAGAGCAGCGCCAGAGACAATGAACAAAAGCCTGATGTCCAGCAGGTTTGCTCTTTGTTCTTTCAATTGAGCTTGATGAGGCATAAAGTTTACCCATATCTCTGGAAAACAACAACAGGCATAGCTGTGGCCTCCCATCATTCTTTTACTGCACATTAAATCATTAAACATTGTGTCTATTTGTATTATTTTTGTTGCATATTATGGTATTAAAAGCTGTGGGTTAAATATTTTGTGGAATGGAAGTTAGGGATCATGTCATTGCCAGATCCTTTGTAGAAACTGTGAGTGATAATAGGACCCCACCCCCCACACACCAAGAGGGCCCCAGGATATGTTCATGTGCTGCAGTGCAGACGATCCCAATTATGCATGCCACACCCAGATCAATCATGTCAAAGGAGGCGTTTCCCCTCTGCTCTCAAAGACACAAAATTTGCAGTGAGTCACAGGTTGAGATGTGAAACGTATTACCTGTAAATCCACACAGTGCAATGGCAGCTTGCTGTCTGTTGCCATTCAGCGATCATTTTTATGTTACAACCCATTTTGTAAACACCTTTTCATAGATTCACGGTCTTAAATTTGCACAGTCAGATTCCAGTGAGCTGAACTCTAGGCCATGTGCTTTAAATGACATAACAGATCATTATCTTTGATAAATTCTTGCCCTAGTTCCCAAACTCTGTTGGGCTGTGCTGGAATTAGCGAGCAGAGGATTAACCCTTTAAAGCCAAATGTATCATTTGATGCACTAGTTTTTGTGAGTTTTTGAGACTTTTACATTATCGGTGTGATTTTCCTCCTGATGCATGATACAATTTTAAGGAATAAATTGTAAAAATAAATAAATAAATAAAATGCCTGTTGTAGCAAATATGATACAAATTTAAACTGATATGTGATTTTTATTTTGTTTGTTTGTTTGTTTTGTCAAAAGATTCACTAAATGCAATTCAACCTTTAAATGTTTTTTAAAAAACAAACAAACGAAAAACCATTAAGGGCTTTAAAAAACCAACCATTCTCTCAAACTGTACAATTTTAGTGTTTTGCTGCAGCTGCCTTCTTGGTACCTTCACACATGCAGGAGAATTTTGTGTTTAAGAAGCGTTGTTCTGCATTATTCTCTGTGTATCTTTCAGCTTTTTCCTGTATTCATCTTCATCCGCTTCTTCTGAGCAAAGCACACAAGGAATGCAGATCAGATTTACTGTGCATGTATTACACAGTTACATATTTATATACCAGACTTATTAGACAAACATTTATAGATCTACTTGAACACAACAAACAATCATCAGCTGCTTGTCAGCAAAACTCTTTCCAGTGCTCAGAAGGTTGCTGTCCCTCTAATTAAAACCCAGTGGAAACGCCATCAATCATGTCAGATCAATATGAAATGAAATCAAAGATGGCCAGTTTTCAGCTTTTTGTCACTTTAACAGTCTCCCATGCTGCTTTGTTATCTTCCTAGTAGGGGCAACATCGCCACCAAATGGTGTGAAATGGAAACATCTTCGTATGGCTAATACTAAAAAACAACTAACTTGATATAAAGGCGAGTTGCAGCAGTAATACAATTTTTTTTATTGATTAGTTTATTCAAAAGTGAAAAAAAATGATACAAGCAATACTCCAAATTGATTGGATTACAGAAAATGCTAAAACAGGGAAAACAGTATAACAACCCTGACAGGTGGTTATTGTTTTCACAATAGTCTATAATGAACAAAAAACTGGACCACTTATACACTGCTGATATGTGCAGCCTGCTTGTACAAGCATGGATTAAAGGATTTCATGGCTGAGAGGAAAAACAAGCAGCAGCTGTATCCTGCAAGGTTCCTGTTGCTTCTGTAGTGTTGAGTTTCTAATATCTTTTGAGCAGGTGTAAAGCTATCTATACAAATGCTCATCAACATGAAGACTGTTGCATTTTTAAGCTCAAACATGACAGATATGTTGGATTCCATATGAGGCAAAACATTGCATCTGTATTTTTTATCAGCAAAGAATTTGCATTTGTTTTTATAATAGGCCGCTGTGTGTTTAATTCTCAGGTTCCCATCACCCTGCGCTTCCCAGAGGTGGGTACATGCGCTCCCCCTCGTGGACACGATGCAGCAAAGTTGAGCCTCCACGAGAGAGAAAGCACCACAGTGACTCAGACACCACAGAGCCCTTAATGAAGCTGGAAAGGCCAAAGCAACCATGATCTCTGACATGAACCAACCAGCCTGCAGAGAGGAAAACAAAACCCAGAGCCAGACATACAGCCAGAGCGGTCACACAAAGCGGACCAAGATGCCTCGTTCTGCCACCGTGCTCTCACATAATCTTACATGGTGCTGGCGAGTTCAGGCTGAACTCTGGACACTGTGCTCTCTACTCTAACTAAAGATGCTGAGATGTGCAATGTGCACACTTTCTTCTCTCCCCGTCCCATTCTCTCCCACACTCACAAACACATGCAATCATTGTGTTGCTCAAGCAAAAGGTTCTTAGTGCACTCTGAGCTGCCAGATTATAATCTTTGTTTATTGGTTGACAGACAGGGTATTAGGTCAGCAGAATAATAGCACTTTTATCCGTGAAACCTCTCAGCATGGGCTTGCACAATGAGATTGATCCGGACATAACCACAGCGTTAGGTTAGACTTCACGTGAAACTCAGATGACAGTGAGCTTCACTCTCAATTACAAAGTCATAAGATAAATCATAAATCAAACATTTGTTTTCCTAAATGAAACATCACATCGAGCTCTTATTGAGGCTAATTCTGTAACGCCTCGAAGTAAGTTAAGTGAAGCAGGGGATGTTGGTTTCTGCAAGGCTCAGCTCTATCCACCACCTTTTCTCAATCGTAATGAAGAATGTGTGCTGTTGTTTTAAATGCCTAAATAAAAATAATGCACTTCTTCACTGAACTGTATATACAGTGCCCTGCAGAATTATTGGCATTTGGTGCAGATGATTCACAAAGATAAACAGACCAAGTAGCAGCTATATGCTATGTACTTTTCCACACCCAACTTTGTGTTTGCAAAATTTGCTCACTTTATCATTATGAATAGATTATCTGCCACAATTGCTGCTACTAGCATAAAGCAATCCAAAGTTAGTAAAAAAAAAAGTTACACTGAAACATTATGGGGTAAAACTTAAAGCAGTTAAAAAAAAAAAAGGTCAAATCTCACTATAGGCAGATTCATGCAAAACAAAGTGCCAACAATTTTATAACTCAAATCTCCCAAAAGGTGAATTTAACTCCTGATGCAATATTTCTTATTTTTTTCAGTAAAGGGAATAGCTGATTACTTGATTTATTTGTCGCATATTCAGCTTGTCTATACCAAGAATCAGAATCAGAAACTTTATTGTCATTGTCATGAGAACAACGAAATGAAGAATGGTCCCCGATCATTGCATCATCCCTAGCAAGAGTGCCAATAATTCTGAATGCTGTGACACAGTGGATTCAAAGTGACACTGGGATGGTAGAAGGAAAAAATAAAATGAAAACAGTGTAAGTTATTATGTGACTTCTGTTGTTACTAGTGTGGAGGAGACCCATTCTGTATTGTATGGTATGGAGAGCAATTGATTTCATATCAGTCTTTCGCTACAAATGTAGTCTGCGCAAATAAATATGCACATCTCTCATGTTCACTGCAGACAATGTGTTCTATAAATAGCAGGGAAACTATGGCAACTGCCAAACCCAGTCTGAGATGGCTGTTCTGTTAAAGTTTTTAAATTCAAACAGAAATTTTAAACTTTATTTCACCATCCTTGGATCTCCAAAGAATTTGAATAATCATTATTATTAAAATTATTATAGCACCAATGTACCACCGGCTTACCATTAATGGGAATCCTGGCTAAAAGTGCAAAAGTACCCACTTTACTCATATTGCAAGTTCAAGTAATGATTGGTATATATTAGTGTACATATTTGTATATAATAGTACAATAGTTACAAAAATACTATTTACCCAGCAGAGGAGCAGCTGGCATAAGAAATGCAACAGTAGATGACAGTGTAGACAGGAAGTAGGAAAAAATAAAATAAATACATAACTGACAGAGTAATTTCCTGAATAACAGCAAAGTTCATGTTTTTACAGTACCAAACAAATACTTTAGTGTTCGTATTACTTTAAGCTGTTGCTAATTTCTTTTATCCTCATTAAATGTGCTGAAAACACAGTTTGAAAGAATAAAAGGACAGAAATCTTTCTTAATCACTACTTTGACCAGTGAACTATGCAGGTGATATTTTCATATATTCTAAGGGACAGTTTGTAACACAGAGACAAGACAAACAATTTGACCCATACTGAGCTACACTTTCCCAGTGCTAATCCGAAGTTCTTATATCTACATAAATGTTTACCCTGATTATTATGAGACACTGGGAGACACTGATTAGTATGCGCAGAGAGAAAGCTAGAAAACATTGACTGATTTCTAATTACCTTTACTGATAAATATACGCAGACTCCAAGGAAAACAACATCTGCAAAAGGATTGAAATATAAAACAATCAACAATCAAATAGATCTGAACTTTAAACATGTGGCAAATAATAGGATAGAATAGAAAACTGTATCTGCAAAAGGATGAAAATCCAAACCTCAAAATAAAACTTAACACATGATTCCTGCAGCTGATAAGAACATAGCATGATGGCTTATTCCCTTCTAATAACATAATATAATTCTCTTCTAATTATTCATGGTATGTTTTGTTAGTATTATTGCACTTAGAGACTTCCACAGAGTGGAAAAAGGAAACATAAGGCAACTGCAGCAAAATAGTGCACTTGTACATAAAAACTACAATGAAAAAAATTGCAGATTGCACAAAACCTTGGGCAACACATCACCATCTTTTATCCTAAGGTTGTCAGTCACATGAACCACTAACAGACCTCTGACAAACTGCAGTCCAGACCAGATGGTGCCGCACATGAGAGACAACCTTAAAGACAACCTACAGGTAAAGGGCTGATGTGTTTTGCCGATTCTGCAGGTGTTTTGTATCTCCTTTGTTGTTTTGCCAGTCTGTTAGTCCTTCAGGTAGAAAAGTGTCTTCTTTAGATTTCTCCAAGCAATCAACAACCTCTTGATATGAGGACTTCTCTTGAAAGGGGCGAGGTCCTAGCAGTTCCACCATGTCAGCCCTGTCTAGAATCTCTTGGTCTAGAAGATGCTTTGCCACCTGCATTACATGACCAACAGGAAACATCAAGCTTTGAGGTCATTAAAATACACATTTTTTTCATACTCCAAATATATGACAGTTTTGAAAAATGCTCAGCACAAATGAAAATCCATTTGCAGCATCACACTCTGCAAATGTCTCTGAAGCACTTACTACAAATGTTAAAAAGTTCGCACCTTCTCCACCATTTCCTTCTTGTCAAGTATGAGCTCAAGTGTTCGTTGGAAGGCAGCATCTATGAGTGAGCGAACTTCCTGGTCTATAACCTGGGCTGTAGATTCACTGAAAGGTTTGTCAGTTATAAGGCTGCCCCATTGCGGTAGGTCAAAAGAAACCTGACCCACCGCACCATTCATTCCAAACTGTACAATCTAAAATATGAAGAGAAGAAGAACATGAAGACTGGAACAGAAATATATAGTCAATAAAAATCATAAATTATTCTCTATGAGTCATTTTAACTCCATGGATGGTTATGCTTTTTTTTTTGTTGTTGGACAAAATACGGTTTGGTTACGCCTAAATTTCTACAATAAGCCTGTTCTGCAGTGAGGCGAGTACCTGTGCATAGGCAGACTGTGTGACTTTCCTGAGATCATCTTGTGCCCTGGTGGTGACTTGACGAAAGAAAACCTGCTCAGCCACTCGACCACCCAGCATCATGCACATTCTGTCAAACAGCTGCTCCTGTGTGAATAGGTACTGCTCTTTAGGTAGATACTGTGCATAGCCCAAACCTGTCCCTCTAGGAACAAGTGACACCTGGTGGAGTACATTATAATGATGAATCTATAATCAGTTAATCATTATAATTATTACAGGATTACTGCAAAAAGAGAGCAAGAAATGTAAATAATACCTTAAAAAGTGGGTCTGCATGTTCAAGAAACCACCCAGTGACAGCATGCCCAGCTTCATGATATGCCAGAGTAGTTTTTTCTGGAAGTTGCAGAACCTGAGATCTTTTCTCTAGACCTGAGAACACGACAGAGATCTTAAAAAAATGCTTAAATCATAATATTAACATCAGGTTAATGGATTGACATAAAATAACATATAAGCTCTATATTTTGACACCACTGCTTTTATAACTCAGTTGTACTGTATTGTCATTGTATTTATGTAATCAAAAAAGTGGTTATGGAAAGATTCACATATATACTATCAGTTTCTTTTGGTTCATTTTGTTTGACTTACCTCCAACAACCCTTTCAACTGCCCACTCAAAGTGTTTGCTACTGACATACTGGCTGAGACGACGTGCAGCTATTAGAGCTGCCTCATTACACACATTTGCAATGTCAGCCCCTTATACAAACACAGAGAAGCAACAAATAAGTTAGAGTGTGATGAAATTAAAGCAAGAATCAGCTGAAACTGTATGATTTTCTTTTTTAGATTTGTTTGGTATTCAGTGATCATGATCTTTTATTCCCACCAGTAAAATCTGGGGTTAAAGCAGCAAGATTCCTGGCCAGCGTCTCTACATCTACACTGGAGTCCAACTTCAGAGGTCTTAAATGCACCTTAAAGATTGATGCCCTGCCTTTCATATCTGGAGGACCTGCAAAAAACAAAAAAGAAGACCACTGTCTGTATAATTCATTAATAAATCACTCTGCTTCAAGTTCTGTCACATATACAGCACTGTGCAAAAGTCTCACTCCTTAATTCCTTTATATTTGGTTTTCATTGAGCTAGACTTTTCTAAAGTGATCTTGAGAAAAAGTTCATCAGGCTTTCGAGCAAAGACCTGACACAGGACCAGAGATGCATTTGGTCCTTCAATTAATCAATCTGCTGTTCACCAAAGCCTCATTAATAATGGTCTAAGTGGAAGGGTGGCTTTCAAGAAGCAATTCTAAAGGAAGAGCAACCGGAAGAAAAGGCTGAAGTATGTCAAATTATGCAAGAATTGGACTCAAAATGAAGTACTGAAACCAAATTTACAATTTTTAGTTTAAAGGCTCATCAATATGTATGGAGGAACTCATAAGAGAACCTGCCCAGATCCTGAAGATCAACATTATTGAACCTGAGTGGGATCATTTTGATAGTGTAGAGAACAAAAGGAGCCAACATCTGAAAATAACTTTGATTGTCCTTCAAGAAGCCTATTCCTGAAGACTACTTGAAGAAATTACAAGAAAATTGCCTGAGAGAGTTAAGGCTGTTTTGAAGAATAAAGGTGGTCATATCAATGAATGCAATGAACAGCCTACGTCCATTGCAGCCCTTAGTTATGCTGCAATAGATGTAGGCTGCCGGGGATTCCCATGATGCATTGAGTTTTTTCTTTCCAGTCACCTTTCTCACTCAGTATGTGTTAATAGACCTCTCTGCATCGAATCATATCTGTTATTAACCTCTGTCTCTCTTCCACAGCATGTCTTTATCCTGATTTCCTTCTCTCACCCCAACCAGTCGCAGCAGATGGCCGCCCCTCCCTGAGCCTGGTTCTGCTGGGGGTTTCTCCCTGTTAAAAGGGAGTTTTTCCTTCCTACTGTCGCCAAAGTGCTTGCTCATAGGGGGTCATATGTTTGGTGGGTTTTTCTCTGTATCTATTATTGTGCAATCTACTGTACAATATAAAGCGCCTTGAGGCAACTTTTGTTGTAATTAATTAATTAATTAATTTGGCGCTATATAAATAAAATTGAATTGAATTGAACTGAATTTAACTTGAATGTTTTTACCTAATATACTGTATTTCCATGTATGTTTGAAAATGCTTTAATAAATTACTGCACATATGTTCAGTTTATTTAGCAAAATATAAAGAATCGAGAGGCAGCTCAAATTTGTTTGCACAGTACTGTGCAAACAAAAAGCTTATAGAGCTGATGCTGACAATTACTCAGCCTTCTGCTGCATTACACGTGCACAATTAGCAACTGCAAAAATAGTTCACTGAAACCATGCCAGCATGAAAAGGTGGTGAATCTTGTTTGTAGAAACTTTACAATAACACTTTTTTTTAAAGGTTTATATTCGGTCGAAAGGCAGAGCAAATTCTAAAACAACAATGTATTGACTTAAAAGTTTCAGTACAGAAGCATTAACTCTTACTGGAGGAGAAATGTTTTAATTCGCTTTTAAAGCCATGAATTCAGCGTAATTTATTTTACCATTTAAAAACCCTTTGTCATTTGCAAGCATCCAGGAAAGGACCCAATATAAGTCCTAAGGCAGTGGCCAAACTTGTGGCTTGGAATACCAAGTTACATAACTAATTGCTCATTAAACCAATTAGAAATGTGAACTTTTTCAGCACTCCCATCTTTCTGTCATCTGTTTACAAAAGATAATATACACAGACAGAAGGATGGGGAACAGAGAATAACAGGGAAATGAGCAACATATCCCATCCCTCGTGTTGGCCTCCAGTTACCTAATCTGTCCTTTATAGAAAAACAGCTCTCTCATTATGATCTTGTTTTCTTTGATAGAGAAAAGTGGTCTGGCCACCCACCCTGTAGTCCTGGTGTTAGGAAAATTAGATCTTAGCAGGCAGGAAATATCAAATTAACCGAAGATAAAAGCAAACATTATGCAACACGTGCTTTTAATGACATAAGACGTAAACAGGCAAGAAGAAACATACAGTAAGTACAAGATATGAGTTTCAATAATGTCAAACGTAACACCTCATCTAAAGCAGGGAAAGTCAAAGTTATGCAGACCATCTGGGTCTGCATGCACACCAGAGCCAGTGAATCACATGTGGAATAATAAACTGGGAAACAGAAATCAAAAAGAAAATAAACTTAATCACAGCAAAAGTAAAAGTGAGCTTGGTGTTGTGGTCAGACACCAATAATCTGAAAATTAACTGAAATTTGAAATGCATCTTAATAAACAAAGAAATAATGGTTTTATATTTATAGTTTTCATAAAAGGTAACTGAGTTGCAACAAGCGAGGAGACTGCAGAGGAAGTAGGCAGATCTGAGGTTAATATTTATACTTCACCTATGTATACATGTCGATCAAAGCGTCCAGGCCTCATCAGAGCTGGATCCAGGATATCGGCTCGATTTGTGGCAGCTAAAACCACGATGTTAGTGCTGCTGTTGAATCCTGCAATGACAAAAGCATTTAGAGGACTGAGGGCTTGTGAAAAAATAGCATCAGAAATGTTGACATAAAACATAATTACCCACCATCCATTTCCACAAGCAGCTGGTTGAGGGTGTTCTCCTGTTCGCCCTCATCACCAAAGTTTTCTTTGCCCCGCTTTCTGCCGATGGCATCAATCTCATCAATGAAAAGAATGCAAGGAGCATTTTTTCGAGCTGTGGCAAACAAATCTCTTATCTAATAAAACACAGAAAAGATCTATTTATTTCTACAGTTATACTAATTTTTGACATTGCCAAAACACCCAAAAGTAGAAAGTCTTCATCATTTTAATTTGATACGAGAATGAGTAATTCAGTGATCTGCTGTATTTGCACATATTGTGGTCACACTGCAGCATCACAAGCATGTGACCCATCATTTTGTTTTCAGACCTGTTGAGAGTCCAATCATTCAGCTCCGTACTAACCCTTGCTGCACCCACACCGACAAACATTTCCTGGAACTCCGAGCCGTTGACTGTGATGAAAGGAACGTTGGCCTCTCCTGCAGTGGCCTTAGCTAGCAAAGTCTTCCCATTTCCAGATGGACCCCATAGCACTGCACCCTGTAAACAAGGGAGTTAATCAGATTTAATGTATTTTCTATCTTGAGGAATTTTTTGTTCCAGTGAGTATGATCAGAATACAGAAGTGCAGAATTGCTTTATTTTAATAAAAATAATAAATTTCTTTATCAAGAAATGACACACCTTAGGAATCTTAGCACCCAGGTCATGATACTGACGTGGGCTTTTCAGGAAATTGATAAACTCCAAGATATCTTGTTTGGCCTCCTCACACCCTGCAACATCTTTAAAATGGACACTGACATTGTTTTTAATTATCCTGGCTTTGGATTCACTTATCCCAAAGAGGCCTCCTCTCCCCCAGCCACCAAGTCCTCCTGCCATCGGCCCCTGCCGTGTTGCAAAAAGTAAAAATCCGACCACAAGTAAGATTGGGAGAACACTCAAAAACAGAGTCCTATGGGAAGAGAAAAACCTTAGTTAGGACATCGATTCTAATAACCTATATATGCAGTAACTTTAAAGTGAAGCTGCTGTACTTTCTCACCCATCACTTTCACTGCTGTAGAGCACAGGTACTTTCTGAATGGAGTCCAGACCTATTTCCTGCTGTGCTAGCTCCAGGTTATGCTCAAATGAGTCTGCGCTGCCAATGTTGAACCACAAATAGTTCTGAAACATGAAGACAACAGCATGTAGTATATGTAGTAAGTATATCTACCTTTACTGTACTTTGACTGACTCTTCATCTGGACTGCAGCCCCTCGGAGGAGGCACACTACCATTGTGCATTGTTAGAATAGCAATTGTTCCTCGTGTGATTTTCTCAGTGTAATCAGTCAAATGCCTGCTGCAAATAAAGGTTAGCAAGCTTTATTTAGAAAAAAAAAGCAATTGATAAGGAAAGACAGTGAGAAAATGAAAACGAAAGTACTTATGTGCCAAATACAAATATGTCGACTGCTGAGATCTGTATTTTAAAACTTGTGCTCTTGGAATTTCAGAAAGTATGTGTGTCCTCTACCAACAAAAGCAAATGGGAATACAGTGTGTGAGAAAAAGAAAGATGTTTGTTTTGTTTGTTTATACAGTCATTTTTATCAATATAGTGAAGTACATTTTGTCGATTCTCATCAGTTTAACAGTAAAAATAAATGCATTTAGTTTGTATAAGACACTGCAATTACACACTGGGACATTTAATGAAACTGACCACTCGTGATGTGTTCACGCCGGGGGCTGGAAATACTTTGACATACTGTTTGTTGACAACCTCGACATGGCCCACCTGGGAGGAGAGCAGAAGGAATCATTTGTTCACATGGTTGCAAACACAAGCACAGACACACAGGTGTAAGGAAGACACCGTAATTAAAACGATCTCTGCCTCTCACCAAGCCTCTACTCAAGTAGTGATGCACAAAATCCTTCCAGGAGATCTGGACTCCTGTTTCTCTAAAGTGAAAGTACAAGAAAGCTGAGGCCATGCCTGCTGCACCGGCTGCTAGGTTCTGGACCGTTTTATCATCAAAGGGAAATTCCTCCTGTTAGAAATAGGATAATGAAAAAATATTTTAGTTTATAACTCCTATATAGAATCATTTTAGTAAGCATATTTTGTTATTATTTAGTGACTGAAGACGAGGCAGTTATTGCCACAATTCTGGCTATGATTCACTCCTGAAAGCGTGACCACCAGTATGATTCCCCTTTTTTCCATCGTTTTCGTCTTTGGTCCTTCCCGTTATTTGAGTCCTGCCATTCCCTTCCACGAGACTCTTCTTTTATATTTCCATCTGAACAGCAATAATAACACAACTGTTCATTGCGGCAGAGCTGAGAAATACAGGGCTTACAAACTCACTGGGTAAAGAAATTATACACAGTTCAACAATACATAGAAAAGTAAGCAATTGTGTTCTTCACACTGCCCTTAAGGTTTACAGTCTATGTGCACACTGATTTAGAGTCATTAAAAAGGTAAACAGCACTAAAAGATGGACTACCTTTTGGCTGTTTCCTTGAGCTAAGTAGCCGAGTAACTTGGAAAATGTGTTGATGTAAACCTCCGCATCTTCTTTGGATGAGTGATTTCTTCTGAAATAGGTTAGCAGTGAAGTCAGTCATCAAAAGCCATGTATAAAAAGAAATGTACATGAAATAGATTCAGTTCAATTAAATTTTATTTATATACTGCCAAATCACAACAACAGTTGCCTACAATAATACAAAGAAAACAGAGATGTAAACAAACTAACTGAGTGAAAGGATACAGTCTCATGAAGCAGAGACTGTATTCGTGTTTTTACATTTTAAAAAAAACTCTTTTGTTTGCTCACATGTTTAAGGATTACTGAAATCTGATTAAGATCTAGGCACACTGAAATGTGTTGCATATAACCTAATTATATGCAGTCATTGCAACAATAACACTGAACAGCTGCTGTTAAGGTCAAATATTTACTTCATTTTGGCCATCTGCACATATTTAATGTTGATTCAGTTATGTTTATGGTTTGACTAAACTGATTACCATACAACTGCTCAAATTGTGATTCACTATGAGAGAGCATTTCTCAGTATCAAACATACATAATAGTGCACGCAATAAAACCATTGCTGCAGGTTATGACTCTGGAAAATTAATCTTACACAGCTCAACCATACACATTCACACCGGTAAAAATAATGATCCCATAGTGGAATACAGGCACCTGTTGGTGACAATTTTCCCCTATACAGTTGACTACAGAGAGAAACTGAATACTATGAATGTATTTTTAATAGTAGTTAGTAGATTTTTTTTTATGAAGGAGAGACAATGGGTGATGCAATTCATCTTCTTAAACAGTTTTAAATATTAAAGGAAACTGGATGGATAAATGAGCGAGAGAGAGAGAGCCCCTTTAAAAACAAATGTATTATGAAACTGAGGAAACTGATTTATAAACTACATTAACGGAACGGACATCGCCTACCGTGAGAGAACAAACAATGCAGGAATGATAAATAAACACTGCTGCAGCTTGCTTGGGTTTTTTTTGGAGTTGACTGCTATATCTGGATTTTAAAAAATACCAAAAAACAAACTTTTAACATAATTCCTTGCAAACCATTGTTAGCAAACGCAGGTGACAAAAAAACTTGCGTCATCTATTTTTTTTTTTTTAAGTGTAGTTAAGCTGATATAAAACAATAACGGCGTTTTTACAACCTACCGACGTGAGAACCACGAAGAAGCGAAAAGTAGATGAAGAGGAATAGTTGCGGCTCAGCGTCCGGACTCGGTTCCTACAGTAGCCGACAGTCAAAGAGAGGAGACTCATCCTGTCAGCCCGACTGACTGACGGACCGACTCACCGCAGAGCCATTAGGAGAGGCACCGGAGGCACGGTGCGTATCACAGTCATCTCGCGAGATTTTGGTTACAGACGCTACAGGTAGGCACCAGTCTTCCAGCGGGTTTTTTGTTGTTGTTGTTGTTGTTGTTGTTTTTGTTAAGCCCAGTTTTAATGTTGGAAAGCCAAAGAGATCTATCTTCATTTGGATTTTTTGTTGTTCTTAGTTGCAGACCGGTCATTAACAGACAGAATTAAAACCATTGCTTAAATGCATTTCATTAATTTATTCATGCACTACTCATATGTTTAACAAGCCATGGTGTTTACCAACACCATGTAAGTCCATTAGTTTGGAAAAAATATATATACACAATACATCATGCTGAAAGATAACACAGCCAAAACTCATTATTTTAAAACAAATACATAAAGGTCAGCATTTACACATTAACCAAGGTTTGCCACTTAACATACAGAGACTTAATTAAGGGAATTTAGACTGAAACAACTACCATGATGGTATGAAAGGGTTTGGATAACAGCTGTTAAGTAACCTGACAGCCTTAGGCACACAATTTTCATGAGCATCAACAGACATTTGCTACACTGCATGAAAACAGCACTGATTAAACACATATTAAACTGCACAGCATTAGTTCACAGTTTTGAATTTAAAAAAATGAAAGCACATAAAACAACTCTCATAGTCTTTGTGTCTTACAGTTTAACAATTTTCTTTACAAGGAAAAGTACCGTACTGCTAATGCATGCTTTCATTATTTATATTTATTTATATATATATATATATATATATATATATATATATATATATATATATATATCTGTTGCCAATACAGTACACGTATTTGAAGTTATGTTTTCAGTGATTGTATGTATACACATTAATTTTTTTGTTCACCTATACCATTCGGTACGGTGCAAATAGGAAAAGAGCTGAAAATAAACAGTTAAGGCCTGAAAATCTACATAATTGAAGACTTTATGAAATATCAACAGATCAATATATTGGTTCTAAATAAACAGCAATTGAACTCATAGAAAATATGTCCAAAAAGGGGAGATGGGTAAGTGGCAGTGACCAACTGGTCACACAGTCTAACAGATTTAATCCCATTTTAAACTATGTCAACATATAGCTTTTTTTGTGCAACATCACCCATCTGAACCTAATAAACTGAAACTTGGACATGGCAGCACAGGAACTGGATGCTGAAAGGCATATTTTTGGCGATTTTCTTATTGGACGCTGGGCTTCTAAACTTTAAAATTCTGATATATGGCAACTTTAAAGTTCAGCATTATTGGCAGTTTGGATTAAAGTAGTTGAGGCTTGTAACAGTAAATATACAATTTCTGCATGCATAACCACCTACTGATCAGGTGGATTTTTTTCTCTACAGAGCATTTACTTGTAAATTTAGAAACACACACCAACATTAAACATACACGCAGTGGTTTGTACATCTAAGTTCTGTAGGAATGCAAAGGTTTGATAAAAATATATTAATTTCCAGATGAATTTTAAATACCCTGCCTCATAATGCAGTGCACAGGATAAACAAAAGTCAGAGCATAATCATAAAACAAAATAAAGAAAGATTGTGGGGTTTTTTTTCCCATAACGAAGCAAAGTGCAGCATCCACTTAAATCCCAGGGTCCTTTCCAGAGTTAGCTTTCTTTCACATCCAGCTCCTCTTCATCCTGCTTACGCTCAGTCATTCGTGCACATCGTGGACAAGTTGTGGAATTGTCAAAGTAACAATCTCTACAGAGGTACACAACAAAAAAACATCAACATTCATGTCAGTTTGGTTATTTCTTTTAGTAACAGTTTAATAATTGGGAAATCATAGTGCTTTGCAAATTGAAGTACCATTTGTTAAACAGAAATACTCCTAATTACCACTTTAGCAATGGAATTTGAAGGTATGTTATTCTGAAGATCTGTTTTATTATTGGTATCTCCACTCAAAACTTTTATACAAACAATTTCCTTTTATCAATTAATTTTAAACACTTCACAAAGAGAAAATTTGCTGTATTTTTGAGCCCAAATCGTTGGTGATGACTAACCTGTGAAAGACAGCAGAGCAGTCATGGCACACTGAGGTGTGACTGTCAAAGGGGAACAGGATGTCTCCCTCCTTGCAAAGCTCACACACAAATCCTTTGGCCTGACAGCGCTACAAATACACACATGGACAGCACAAACCATTAATATGGCACAGAAAGATACAATGATATCAACAAATACTAAAAACATTTCAGCCATATATTAGTACATGGTGAATTTGCAAGTCCAACACAGCCCCTCTTCTTCATGATATAGTTCAACAGTGCCATCAGTAGGGAAGTTTGTGCTTTATGTATGAGCTCACCTCGCAGTCTAGTTTGATGTGCTTAGCAAATGTGGTGTGGATCTCTGTGAGGGAACAGCTCAGTCTGCCAGTGGAAATGTCAATCAAATCCTGTAGTGAGTACATGTCGTCGTTCTCGACAAAGTGTTGGCGATCTTGTAGCTGGAAAATATAAATGCAAAAAAAGGAAATGGGCAACTTTCATATTATGAGACTCAACTCTTTAGTGCAAAAAAAGGATATCAGACTCAAGCATAGTTTTAAACATATTATTTATTTATTTTAACAGTAGGGAAACATCCATCCATCCATCTTCATCCGCTTATCCGAGGTCGGGTCGCGGGGGTAGCAGCCTAAGCAAAGAGGTCCAGACCTCCCTCTCCCCAGCCACCTCCTCCAGCTTGTCCGGGGGAATACCAAGGCGTTCCCAGGCCAGCCGAGAGATATAATCTCTCCAGCGTGTCCTGGGTCTGCCCCGGGGCCTCCTCCCGGTGGGACATGCCTGGAACACCTCGCCCAGGAGGCGCCCAGGGGGCATCCTTGCCAGATGCCCGAACCACCTCAGCTGGCTCCTCTCGATGTGGAGCAGCAGCTGCTCTACTCTAAGCCCCTCCCGGATGGCCGAACTTCTCACCCTATCTCTAAGGGAGAGGCCAGCCACCCTTCGGAGGAAGCTCATTTCCGCCGCTTGTATCCGCGATCTCGTTCTTTCGGTCACTACCCACAGCTCGTGGCCATAGGTGAGGGTAGGGACGTAGATCGACCGGTAAATTGAGAGCTTCGCTTTTACACTCAGCTCTCTCTTCACCACGACCGACCGGTGCAGCGTCCGCATTACTGCAGCCGCAGCCCCAATCCGTCTGTCGATCTCCAGCTCCCTTCTCCCATCACTCGCGAACAAGACCCCGAGATACTTGAACTCCTCCACTTGGGGCAGGAACTCATCCCCGACGGGGATGAGTAGGGAAACATTTTAAAACAATTCAAACTGACAATTCATAAAAATATGTTTAGTATAGATTAAAACTGAGCTAATACAGAACTTGAGATCACAAGAGTCAATTTAATTTATGCAAGCTAATTAGTGATATCCAGTGGCTCACCCGACTGTACATCATCAGCCTTCTTTAGTTCAGTACTCTTCACTTCTATCACATGGTGGTGCTGTTTTAACATACTGCTAATAGGCTGCCTGTGTCAGTGCTTCCATTTGCATTTTTCTAAATGGTAAGTAAATTGATAGCAAGTTTTCCAAACTGGGTTGTTTACATTCTTGCTAACTTTGAAGGGTTAAATTGTAAACTCTGATCATCCAGTGGAGACTGAAACAATATTAACTGTTTATAATATGATAATGGAAAAAAAAACTTTCTTAATGCACATGTTTGTTTGTACAAATACACACACGCTTATATACAGCTGAGAAAAAAAGGCCTAGTCTAAATTTGTAAATGCCAGTTTAAAAAAGTTGAGGCTATCAGTTCTTCATCCCAACCTTATATGAAAAGAATCTATTAGCCTATTAGACATTGGGCAATTACAAGATAATTTTATGATTTACATGCAGAATTGTCTAATAGGCTAATAGTATTGCTTGGATCAGGTTTAATTGAGATAATTTATTATAACTAGATAACGTTTCTGCTTGAAAGCAAGTCCTTGTTTTACCCAATAAAATTCAGTGTTGGTCAAGTTACTTGAAAAAAGTAATCAGTAACTAATTACTGATTACTTCCCCCAAAAAGTTATCCTGTTACTTTACTGATTACTTATTTTCAAAAGTAATTAATTACCTAGTTACTTAGTTACTTTTTAAAAACACGATTTACAACCTGAATAGGTGATAAAGCGATAGATCTTTCAGCCCAATTCTACTTTTTCTGCATAATCTATCATATAAAATGTAATCAAATGGAAAAGTCTCTTTTTAAAACTTTAAATCTTTTAACTTTATGCATCAAGCAAAAACTTAATTATATGCAACATTCTCTGACTTGAATAAATTAGTTTAACATTTAAACCTATTTTCTGCACATTCCAGCACATAAAATAAAATAGTTTTTTGTGTTTACACTCACTCTTTCAAATAAATGCAAGTAAAACACAGCAGAAAATAAATAAAATCAAAGACTAGCGGTCCTGTTGCTCTATTTTCACCTATAAAGCAGGAGTAGGGTAGGCAGAGGTTTGCCCTGGTGCAGGTGTGCAGCAGCGGTCAGTTGAAGAATCCGCGAGTTTCTCTGTGAATTTCCCATTACGTCGTTGTGCACTCGGTGCTTGCTTGGAAGTTTAGGGGGGTTTTTTCGCTGTAAAAAGACGTTTTCTTCCCATGCACAACGGACACTAATGTTTTCGTCACTTTTTATGGAATCAAACTCAAAATAAGGTCAGTACTTCCACGCTTTAAACGCTGCACGCTCATACTCTCTCCCACACTCGATATATTATCCATTGTTGATCTGTACACAGCTGTTGTCACGAACGTCGCTTACATCACTGTCATGAGACATTCTCGCAAAAAATCACAGTTTTAGTAACGCAGCATGCTTACGTGAAAGTAACCGTAATCTAATTACCGTTTTTGCAATAGTAATCCCTTAAGTTACTCGTTATTTGAAAAAAAGTAATCAGATTACGCGTTACTGCCCATCTCTGATA